ATGAAAAAATACTTTATTATAGGGTTTTGGAAAGCTCTTGAGATAGTTTACAAGAATATGTAATGAAAAATAGGTAGCCTACAACTTTTATTTGAAACATTTTTTCGTATCTCAAGTTCAATTTCCAAGATAAAGAGCCCAAGTCGGACTTTAGAGACATCCTGTATATACAATATATTCAATTGACTAACATTACAAAAAATCATTCTAAATGATCTTAGAAACTTAGTATTACCAAAATATTTACCAAAATATTCGGTTGAAACATCAAGAAATCTTGATTTATTGTGAGATATTGATTTTCATGATTTTCTCTAAACATATGATGATATTTAAATATTCCCTGCATTTCCAAGAAAAACCACTATAGTTTTTACATTATTCTAGTTGTATGAGACCTAAAAGAACTCGAATTTTACTTTCTGCTAAAAAAATCGCACTTTTTGAACATCCTCCTTTCTGCCACACTCATTTAAATATGACATAACTATTTAAATATATGTTGTCATTCGAACATACGATTAAAATTTGGCCATCATTGGAGTTATAAGAAAGAAGAAAGAAGTTGAAAATTAGAAATAACTTGAACGTATGTAACAAATAAATAAAAATTCTATAAGAGAAAAAAATATACTTACTCTTTCTGGAATTTAACAATGTCAAGGATCTTTGTTGCATTGCTGAAAGCTGTGAACTTTATATAAAAATAATGGCAGCAACTAATTTTCATAAAAGTATAGATGTCTTGTAAAGTAGTACTATCGGCACATTTCGTCCATCTTCTCGCAATTCAAAATAATTATTCTGTAATACAAAAGTACATTCATCTAAATGTCAACCCAAAATAAAATATCCTGTAATTACATAAGTAGATTTATCTAAAAGTTATATTCTCACAAGTAGGAAATAACATAAACATATGTAATTTAATATGAAGCTTAACGATGATAATTTTCTGTGATCAATAGTGAGATAAATAAATTGCAAGAAAAATATTTTCTTGTAGTTAAAAAAAATTGCAATTTGCAATGTGCAACTGCATATCTTTTTTTAAATAACTAAGCTTTTCTTACACCGATATCTCATTAGTCTATACAGAAAATTGTTAAGATAAGATTATCGAAAAATAAATATATTCGAAATATTTCATATTTTTTGTCAAAATGTATCAAAATAAAACATAAAATATCTTATACACTATTCCTTCTTCAATTATTTCATTCTAACAATTTTTACCAAATATTACGAGAAACTGATTTATGTAAGAAAATGATGGTTTCATTTAAAAAAAATAATAATGACCTCGAAATCTCAATAATATCTGCATCTCAAATAAGACTAGCTACAATCAGTCAACAACTCTTATAGAATTTTTATATGAAACATTTTTCGATGAAAGGTGGGGTTTGATAAAATAGTAACGCATTATTTAAAATAAGACACCCTGTATATATAGAACCAATAACTCCTTCGTCCACCTGGAATATCTTCGTTATTTATAGAGATATGAAAATATTGTAATTATGAACGTTATATTGTATCAAGAGAGCCATAATATATTAATAATTTTTCTATGGGTGGAGGCATTTTTGAAATTTTAAGATCATCATTAATTTTTTTTATTAACTAAAACCATCATAATTTTCTTACTTAAATCAATTTCTTGTAATATTTGGCGTAAAAATTGAGTAATAGCTATTTTGTTTTATTCTATAATCTTAGCTTAATCATTTTTAAGTACAATATATATATATATATATATATATATATATATATAGGTTATAGTTGTAACATAAACCTAGCATAATAAAATGAATCCATTCGTACAAAAAAAACATAGTTTTTTTAAAAAGTATGCAGTTACCATTGCAAGTTCCGATTTTTTTTTAATGACAAGAATACGTTTTTTTTGCACTAAATAATTTATCTCATTATTTTGTCACATTTTCCCAAATATCATGAAAAATCTGCATCTTTTAATAAAAAGTACCGAAACAAAAGTTGTAGATTTAAATTATCTTTAAAATGAGATCAAAATGATTGTTGTACATTCCATAGATTTTGATATAACGTCTTTATTCATTTTCTACTATTACGTACTATTTTAGTTTTAAAAAATTTATTTTATTTTCATAAAAAAAAAATTTTTATTTTTTATTACCGTTTTTTTTTTCAAGAAAAATCTATTAAGTTTCATTTTCCTTTCACCTTTTGCTCTTTCTTTCACGTTTCATTTTTTTTATTTCATTTTCTTTTCACCTTTTGTTCTTCCTTTATCAGAGGTTTTTGAGCAATAACTTCTTAAAAAAGCATTTTTCGACCCATGTTTATAAAAAATTTTTTGTTCAGGATTAAATTTCCTATAAAATCTCAAAGTCTGGCTGGAACGTTCGGGGCCACCTGATATATGTGTGTATATATATATATATGATATATATTTTGTACGCCAAATATTACAAAAAATCGATTTAAGTAAGAAAATTATGATGGTTTTATTTATATATCCCCTGTACATATAAACACACGCACACATTACACGCACACACACACACACACACACACATACACATATATATACATACACACACACACATACAGGGTGGACCATTTTAATCAATCCATGCAAATATCTAAGGTAAGCAAAATAGAAAAATGTTTTATACAAAAGTTGCAGGATTCAGAGAGGGACACCTGATGGTGACCTTGGCTTTGACCTTAATAGCAAAGAGTGACCCAAAAAATCGCCCCTTTTTGGTCCCTCGATTTTGGGATTGAACTGTGTGCCAAATGTTACCTTATAATGAGACATTAATCACAGATAAGTTTCAAGTTGAGGTGACAACTATTATCAGAGGTAGGGGGGGGGGGTCAAAGTTCACTGACGTACTATCTTTTTTGCTTCAAAGCAATTCAACTCAAGAATTTCAAGCGAAGTGGATAACTGTAAAGAGCTTATCCCCACGTTTTTTAGATCTCTGAATACCAATCTGACATTAGATTTTAAAAATACAAAATGGCTGATTCAATATGGCGAACTCTACATACGAAATGTTTTATTTTATAATAAATTCAGTCAAATAACTTAAGGCTATATATCCTGGGTTTTAGATAGCTGTTAATCAATTTTAAATCAGATATCCGAAATTCAAAATGGCCAATTCAATGTGGCTGAATACCTGAAAAATATTGATTTTTCCAATGCAATTTATTTGAAGAAATCAACATTATTTATCTTGTTGATTGTGTAAATCTATTCCTAATGTAAAAACATATTGAGACGTATCTTTCTTAATTTCGTTTTTTTGGAATTGTTATGGATACATCGCATATATTAGGATTGGGTATGTGTACTCCATGATATTGAGCATATCCAAGGAACCATACGATGGTCATTACGTGGCTGCAACATCCGACAGTTCGTGCGCCACTTTCACATGTACAATAGTACTCTGTAATTGAATTTCGTCCTGTTTTAACTTTATCAATGAGTACAAAAATAAGTTGTGAGTGCCGTCAAATGGTCCAAGTACAAAAAGTATAAATACACTTGACAAATACACTTTCTCTGATTATTTCAAAATAGAGTAAAAAGTCTCAGACTCAAGTTAATCATTTCTTTAAAATCTAGTATTAAAGTAACAGTATTAAATTATCTTTCCAATTTTATATTTATTTTTATATGTATATGTATATTTTTATAAATAAAATAAAATAAGAAAAATAAAATAAAATAAGAAACAAGTGTATAAGAAAAGAATAATTTCTTTAGAGTAACCCTCATAAATTAAAAGATATTTAATAACATGTGCATTAAAAAATTCATTTTTTCGTGCACAGCTCTCCATATTAAATTGAATTTTAAATATTTGATTTAAAATTCATTAATAGCAATCCAAAAAATTCCAGGATATGTAGCCTTAAGTTATTTGACTGAATTTATTATAAAATAAAACATTTCGTATGTAGAGTTCGCCATATTGAATCAGCCATTTTGTATTTTTAAAATCTAATTTCAGATTGGTATTCAGAGATCTAAAAACCGTGGGGATAAGCTCTTTACACTTATCCACTTCGCTTGAAATTCTTGAGTTGAATTGCTTCGAAGCAAAAAAGATAGTACGTCAGTGAACTTTGACCCCCCCCCCCCCCCTACCTCTGATAATAGTTGTCACCTCAACTTGAAACTTCTCTGTGATTAATGTCTCATTATAAGGTAACATTTGGCACACAGTTCAATCCCAAAATCGAGGGACCAAAAAGGGGCGAAAAAACCACCTTTTTTTGGGTCACTCTTTGAATATTGAATGAAAATTTATATATATATATATATATATATATATATATATATATATATATATATACACATACACACACATATACACACACACACACACACACACAGTGTTTCCAGGTTAAATAGCCAAACTTAAAATACGAGAATTTAGGATCTCAAAACAAATAAATATTTTATGTGGAAGTTTACTCGTAAACGCTTCTTTGAAGAGATAATAACTTTTGAAATTTTTAACTATAGGAATGAATAATTCTTATCGAAATAATTTAGATTTATCATCTTTATTGCTTTACAATAATCTATTTAATATAATTATTAAATATTTGGTTTAAAATGCTTACCTCCAATGTGGAAACCAGCATTGCACTATCAATAACAGAACGAGCTGACTGACATTCAACAAACTAAGAATTATTTGATACAAATGAATGAAACTTTGTTTATAGTGCAAACCCTGTTATGTTTACACACAAGCTTGTCAATGACCTTTGATCTTCAAAACAGACATTTTGGCATTATTCATTCCTATAGTTCAAAATTTTAAAAGTCAATATCTCTTCAAGGAAACATTTGCGAGCAAACTTCCACATAAAATATTTGTTTGTTTTGAAGTCCTAAATTCTTCGTATTTTAAGTTTGGCTATTTAACCTGGAAACACCCTGTATATAAAAATTTAATCATAATTTGACATATCAAATTGCTGACCTCATAGAACCATATCCAATTGTATCGACATAAGTGTTACTAATTTCTTCATTAATCATTGAACTTGTCATTGAATGTAATGGCGTTACACTGACATATATTTTTGGTGGTGGTTTCAGTGGCAAAAAAGAACCAATTCTTCTTACAATACTTCTTCTTTTCCCATATGTTATATTACTCATCTGCAAAAAATAATTTATTTTTCATGTAATATATAATAGTAGTCTTCCCTATCAAAATAATAAAAAATTAAATGTAAAATTGAGAGCACAGTTAATATTCAGAATGTCAAATTTGCTAAATTTGGTCATATATATCATTGTTAGATACATATATGGCAATTAGCTTGTATATACAAAATATAAAAATTATTTAAATACTAAATTTAATTGTTTTATATATGTAATTGTATTATCAATTAATCAAACCTACTAAATAACATATAATATATAGTAATCTATACATTTATATCCAGTACATTGTTATAAAATGTTTTATAAATCTTTTATTTTATCACAAATAAATAAATATATATATCTATATATATATGTATATATTATATAACAATATGTAACAATTTATAATGTAAACAAAATACACATGATAAATAAGTTATAAAAATATTGACTTAAATGTTTCGATTAATAATACATGATATACTTATTGTTAGTATAATAATCATATAATAAAAGTTCTGAATATCATCTTATCATGTATCAAAATAATTTCTTATTCTAATAATCAATATTGCTATGCTTCTAAAAATTTTGATTTAAGTCGCAGAAATAATAGAATATGTACAATACTAAATATCAGAATCATTCAAAATTCAGAATAAAAATAATTTCGTTACATTAATGCGATACCAATAGAATTAATAGGTTATCATAAGTGCAAAACACGAGTTCCAAGTTTGTTTTAGAGGAAAATGGTCACTTTTTATAGCTGTTTTTTACACTTTAATCTAAAAGTAATTATTTTCTTCTATCTATATCTATGTATAATAATGATTTATATAAATTTTGTACCTTACCCTGTAGAAAAGAGGTTATATAGAAAAATGCAACTGATATAACCAATTAATTCATAATATGTATTCGATAAGTTCGCTATGGCCTAGTTTACATCAGATTTGTTCTTTATTGCTACACTGAGTTCACAGTGCACTGCACTAAACTAAACTAGTGCAAGCGGAGAGAAGCTAGTGGGTTTTCTCTTTATTGCTGCACTGGTAAATTAGTGCATTAAGTTAAAGTGAGATAAATATATTTTGTTTCACTTTAATTTACTGTACCAGTGTGACGTCCTGCCATTGGTCGAAACCCTAATTTTTTCGCGCTAACATCAATTCTTGCGAGAACTTATATAATTAACTATTTTGAGAATGATTTAACTTAGAATTAGACGTTTTTATCATTTATCGTTAGTAATACCGGCATAGGGAATCTTCTAGTTGTAACTAGTCTAGAGACTAGCAACGCGACCAATCCAACACAACAAGCGCATACCTATAAATAACTAGTCGTCGCCATCTCTTACAACCCTAAGGCCGGCGTCCCATGGAGCGGATTACGTGGAAGCGGAACCAGCGGATCGCCAATCACGGAATCGTTCCGATGGATCTCATCGATAAGTTCTATCGGAACGATTCCGTGATTGGCGATCCGCTGGTTCCGCTTCCGCATAATCCGCTTCATGGGACGCCGGCCTAACGGTATGAACGATAAATGCAAAATATAATCAATGTGTGCAAACCACGGTCGTATACACAGGTCTGGAAACTCTCATGGTGGGGGTAAGGCTCTTAATGTCATCGACATATAGAATGGACTGAGCATTGCGATATGTAAACGCGCGCCTGCTTTAGAGTGAGAGGTACTACATCTGAGGCCTATGTTTGTCTCTCTTGCAAGCTTCTGATTTGTTATTTCGTCCCCCTCCAGAATTCTAGCAGTAACATAGCATTAAATTTTTGACACCTCACCTTCGCCTACTCGCTTTGGAATAACGTGAAACGTTTATCTTTATCTTTAAAAATTAAAAATGGTTTTAAGGTGTTTTGTGTGCAAAATTACGTATGATAAAAATAAAAAGGATATACAGATGCATAAGTAAGTACATTAAAAGTATTTTTATAGGACATTATTGTAACACATTCTTTAAACATATTGTTTTAAAGCTGTATATAATTATATTATATATACGTAACTTGCATAGTTTTGTTAAATATATATTAAAATTATATATTATATAATAAAATTAAGATATGTAATAGTATGTAATAAAAATTGTGTAAAGTAAAATTATAAAAAGTTAGGTTAGATTATGCGTTTTACAAATAAGAGATATTTAGAACATTATTTTAAATATTTTGTAATATAATAATAATTGAATTATACAATATAAAGCTAGTAATACATTATCATTATTTTCAGAGTTCCAGAAAAAGAACACATAAAGAAATTGTGGTTATCAAGGAGTTTCAATTTTACATTCAAAACGCAAAACTGGATTTTTTGGGTTCATTATTACTTTAAATAGTATTGTAGGAATATTTAAAAACTGGATACAAGAAAACAGTAATATGTCGTATTTTTTAACATATAAGTTATCCCAGGACCACTTGGAATTATTTTTTTCTGCAGTACGAAATCATTGTGGTCATAATAACAACCCTACTTGTACGCAATTCATGGCTGTCTTTAAAAATTACTAACGCATGCACAAGTTAGCGGTTCAAAATATGCAAATAGCGTTGCTTTAGACGATACTATCTTTTTAAATATTACTTCCACTAATATACATAAAGATAATATTGATAATATTTGTATAACTGAAGAAAATGACATTGATATTTTAAATAATAATATAAATGATGACCACAGTTATAATATTCATGCTCTATTTGAGGTAATAAATAAAGATTATATTGATGATGTACTTGGTTATATTGCAGGATTTATAGTACGTAAAATATCAAAAGACTTATCATGCAATGTCTGTTTGACTCTTTTACAAAGTGACACAACGTTTTCAAAATTACAGCATTTAAAATCAAGAGGTGGTTTAATTAATGCATCTGCTGATGTAATATTAGTGTGTAAAATAGGTGAAATTACTTTTAGGGAAAATAATATTTTTTCTCAACATAAAAATCTTTTACAGTTCTTTTAATGAAAAGTTTACGCAAAGTAACGAGTAATGTTTTTATCATAAGGACCACTGTTTTGAACAAAATTATTTAAACGATCATAGATATCAATTAATAAAATTAGTTTTTGTTAATTTTTTAAAAATAAGATTAAATCACGCAGCAAAGACAAAATCTGCAGTCATAAATAGAATAAGACATAAGTTAACAAAAACAATTTTATTTATGCATCAATAGATATAAGATAGATATAGAAATACATAATATAAGAAATATAAGAAATACATGTAACTATAAATATTATATAATAAAATTTTGTTTTATACATATAATTATAACAATATCCTGTAAGTGGCATATATCATATTATATTTTATAATAATGTGTAGTATTGTAATTTTTATAAATGTAAATAAATAAAATTTTCTATATATCAACAATATAATTTTTTTATTATTTATAACATTAGTATAGTGTGTAAATAATAATAATATTTATAATAAAATTTGTAAACATATATCTATTTATAAAACTTTATAATTAATAAAATATTAATATAAATATAATATAAATTAAAAGCAAATTTATTGTTTATTTATAAATATATTAAATATATTAAAACAAATTTTAAAATAAATTCTAAAAAAATCTATTGACTACACATTTCATAGAAAAATGCACATGGTCCGCAATTTTTTTAGACGGCCCTGCAAAAAGAGAGACAAACATAGGCCTCAGATGTAGTACTTCTCACTCTAAAGCAGGCGCGCGCTTACCCATCGCGATGCTCAGTCCATTCTATATGTCGATGCTTAATGTCATGATTTGTGGTTCATAAATCTGTCGCCAACCGCAGAGCGCTGTGATCGCTGAGTAAAGAGCTTATATCTGGAGGTCGATTGTGTATCTTGGGTGAGTTTGCTCACGAGATGAAAATTACAAAAGTGAAAAGATTTACTAGATATCGACAAATGAAACCGTGGGTACTCTAGTAAATTTCCTCACTTTTGTAATTTTCACCTCGTGAGCAACTCACTCAAGATACACAATCGACCTCCTGTACAAATTAACAGGAGGTCGATTGTGTATCTTGAGTGAGTTGCTCACGAGGTGAAAATTACAAAGTGAGAAAATTTACTAGAGTACCCACGGTTTCATTTGTCGATATCTAGTAAATCTTTTCACTTTTGTAATTTTCATCTCGTGAGCAAACTCACCCAAGATACACAATCGACCTCCAGATGCATATAAGTATATGCATAAAAAATTTTATTGATATTTTTATTGATATTCTTAAAGTATTTTTAAAGTTTTGTGGTTTAAAAATAATATAATTTTTTATATTAAGTGCATGATGTTTTAAATATATTTTTTAAATATTTTTATAGATGTAACTCTATCATATTGCATATCAATATCAATAAAAATAATATTAATATATATTTTTATTATATATATTTGCACATATGCAAATATTTTCAAGAATTGTACATAAATAACAAAATATCGGTATTAAATAATATATATTTATATATTATTACACGTTATATATTTATATGTTATTACGCATACACCTTATATTTATTTGTTGTACAAGTCGGCACAACACATTCCGACGGCATTTTAATGAAATTTTAATTAAACAGATATGACATATGATATATATGACATATGAGTTATGATATCCTGTAGTCATTTAAAAAAAAAGAACCGAACTCTTAGGCCCGTATTCATTAGTCCAAACTTATTTTAAGTCTTAAGACGCCCTCTAGATTCATAGTTGCGACTTAAGGGAATCTAAGATCGCGCCTTAAGGGCCGGCAGGCGACATGGGGAGACGCCTATCGGCCGGCCGGGAATTAGAGATTCTTATATTCCAGATATTAGCGAAACTACTGAATGAATCTTATTAAATTTATGATATTCTTAATCAGTAAGCTCAAATGCAGTCCGCCAAAGAGTTATTTATTGAAAAAAAGATGAAAATAAAATTTATAATATAACTTGGGGGAATGCGCAGCTAGTAACGGGTAAGGTTGGTAGCCAGGAGTCCGTATTTTATTTATTATAAATTTTTCAGAGCAAAAATGCAAAATCCGACTCTTTGGCGGACTACTTTATTATATCAAGAATATATTAAAAAAAAAAAAACCAAAGTTATGTCACTTATTTTATGAAATATCTGGACGATAAGATTCTCACTAGATTCATAAGGAGCAGGGGAAATTTCCGTGGTAACATACTAGATTTGTTCACGTCGCATGCCCAACATGCTCCTTCTTACTCCAATGCGCTCGTATTGGTGCGCTCCTCGAATTGGACCAATACGAGCTCATTGAATGAAGTAAAAAGAGCAAGTTAGGGCATGCGACGCGAACAAACCTATACTGACAGCTAACAGCTTGACAAGGAGAGACTATCATTCTGTCCTTGTCTCTCTTACATCGCATATGTAGTAACATCCATGTAGACACAAACACTAATGCGTTGAACGAATGCGATTATTGGGAGATATCAGCAAGAACCGGTTTTCGTATTATCATTGTTTCTCTGTATATGTATATTATATGTAAAAGAACAATAAGAATAGCAATAATTCTTGCCTAACATTATCTTCCAATTATCGTTTCGTGTACGCAATATATATTTCACATTATGCATCTGTAACAAATAATCGAATGATTTATTTAAATATTTGCATATAATCTATATATATAAATCTATATAATAAATAAAATGTGTAATAAATTATCGAATGATTTATTTAAATATTTGCATATAATCTATGTAAATAAAATATGTACAAATAAAATAATATTTATGCAAATATTATTTTATTTGTGTACATATTTTATTTATATACCCAAACAACACCAAGTCCAAAATTGGCGCGTAAGATATCTTTCTAAGATGTCTTTTTGATATCATATCATAAGATAGCTGTCTTAAAGATTTCTTAATGCTATCTTATGCGTCAATTTTAGACTTGGTGCTGTCTGGGTAGATAATATGCAAATTAATATGTTTATATATATGCACACACATAGATATGAC